AATAGCCTTATCTTGACTGCAAAAAGTAGGGGCTTTTCAGTTATAGACATAACTTCAGAAGACATACCAGATTTTAAAAATTCATAGCAGAAATATTATAAAAAACCTGCAAGTTACTAGACAAGGCAACCAACTTCAAAATTTCGCAATAACAAACAAAAGCTTTGAGTATAGTTCAGTCATAAAGGTTACTTGATATGGTTTGAATTTATCGATGGTTTCGTTAAAACTAGATTTTTCAACTTCAGAAACCTTCTACAAACCCAGAAATACCAGAAACTATCACATATACTACTAAAATACCCATAAATGAGAAAAAAATATATATACCTAACTCGATATATTATACCCGACGAATATATTTTTACGATATTATTATTATGACCTGGCCTTAATGAAGATTAAAAGAGTGTTAACTAATTCTTTCAACATTTCTAACAAATAAATATTTTTTCGTCATATTTTGTCTATTGTTTGAGTTATTATTACATGCCAGTAGTTACATAATAAATTGGAAGAAGGAAATACTCGTAAATCCAAGAAGTTTCTATTTAATTAACGTAACTAATATTAACATATATCAGTCAGACTTATTTGAAAATAATCAGAATTATTATTCTCTTCAAGTCTTTCATATGTCACATTAACCTATAAATAGACTAAAAGGAGACAAAATGTTTTGTTTTAATTATCTCCATTCTAAATTTTGGATTTATTTCCTTCTTCCAATTATTATTATTTCATTTGCGGCAGCAACGCGTCCGCTACCAGATAGTCTATACAAATAAATAAAATTGAAGTGTGTGTTTGTAATGTCAACATAGCAGCTTTTTAATAAATGCATGCGAAAGTATACTTTTATGTCCTAATAACAAAAATCTATTTTTAAAATTTAGTCTGTGTATCTGTCTGTTCCGGCTAATCTCCTAAACGGCTGGACTGATTTTAACGGAACTTTCACTGTAGATAGCTGATCTTATGAGCAGTAACTTATGCTACTTTTATTTTAGAAAAATAATTAGGGTTCCGAGCATAAATATTAAAACCCATGTAATCCAATCTTAATACATTCCACGCGGGCGAAGTTGCCAGTAGTATTGCAAAAAAATGAATATATTCTATTCTGTTCTGATTCAATAAACAAATATCATCAATAAACAAATATCTGTTATATTATTATGCTGTGTACACTTTTTTGTATTGTAATTTTGATCAATACCATTATATTTTTAATTTTAGAACTGTATATAACCACTGTCTGTTTAATGTACCTTATTCAATAAAAGAAAAAGAAAATATATTCGTCCTGGTACCTAATAGGCGCTTTCTTAAATTTGAATCCCTCTGTATTTAAGTATTTAAAACGCAAATCCCAACACGCACTTTTTTCTTATTTTGTTTTTTTTTTTTTTATTACAATTTATTTAGGTACATAGAATCACTGATTCACAAATACCCAGTCCACTAGACCATACAAAATAAAGCCATAGAACTGTACGGATCGATAAATATAACAAAAAGTGTTTTTTTGTAAAGTAAGTATATATAGTCGTTGCATCTAAATACATTTCGAACCTTAAGGTTCATTTTCGTGTTTTCTAGAGAGAAAATATGTTTCTTTCTTTTTTATATGTTTTTTTATCAGAATATGTGTCAGACTCCGTATGAAAATGAATTGTGTATTTCACTCGTCACTTAATGTCGTGCATATTTGTTGAGTGGTGAGTAATTCCGAATTAGATTTATTGGAACGAAGTTCCTTATCGGACGGTACGGATTTGACGGATGGGGGCTAGGCGACAAAAAGTGTAAGATTTTTCCGTTACGACCCCTTCTGACGTAGTGTAGACGGCCTTGGCGGCTATAAGGAAGCGAGATCGACCGGGTAGGACCACGCTCTCACAGAATACCAGCGTAAAATAGCAGCTTAACACTGCTGTGTTTCGTATGGTGAGTGTAGAGTGAAGAGATATTCCAACTTAGTCCTCACGGGTGACAACGAATCTGCATTTTGATTCGCAAACGAGGGTAGATGTAGATATCTATGGGCCACAGCAACCACTTACCATCAGGTGGACTGTGTGCTTGTTTGTCACCCTATCCTATAAAAAAAAGATTGAACCTTTCCATTTAGGCATAGAATATAACATCATTCAAATGACTAGCCTTACAATATCCCATTCTATTCGATCAGTCCAATTTTTCAGTACATTTTCGATTGCTTGGGCCTCTATTTCGTCAATGGCAACTTCGATTTCATGTTTCAAGTCGTTAATCGTCTCCGGATGGTTAGCGTAATACTTATCTTTAACGGCTCTCCATAAAAAAATCCAACGAAGTCAAATCGCAGCTTAAAGGTGGCCAATTTACATTGGAATATCGACTAATTATGCGATTTTTGAAAACAGTGCGCAAAAGATCGATTGCTACGTTGTCTGTGTGGCACTTTGCGCCGTCCTGTTGAAACCAAATGTCATCTATGTCATCTTCTTCAATTTTGCGAAACAAAAACATCGCTTAGCCTGGCGCGGTAGCGATCACTATTCACTATAATGACGTTAACTTGCTCATTTTCGAAGAGAAATGGCCCAATAATGCCGCCAGACCAAAATCCGCACCAGACAGTCACTCGTTGTGGATGCATTGGTTTCTCCACGATGACTTGTGGATTTTCTAAGCCCCAGATACGACAATTTTGCATATTGACGTATCCTCAGAGGTGGAAATGAGCTTCATCTGAAAAGATGATTTTTCGGTAAAAATGCTCATTTTCGATCAAGCGGTCTTCTGCCCTTTGAGCAAACCGAAAACACATCGGATGGTCATGCGGCTTCAGCTCTTGCACTAATTAAACTTTGTACGAATTCATACCGAGATATTTATGCAAAATTCTTCTCAAAGGAGAGCGTGAAAAGTTTAATTCTTGAGAACGGTGATAACTTGATGTTGATGGTTGTTCACGCACACTCTGAGCAACAGCAGTGATGTTTTCAGTTTAGCGCACTGGACGAGTACATTACATTACACGGGTTGTTTTATCCAACAACGACCCAGTTTCAAGAAGTCGCTTCACAAATTGGGCCAGTCGAGATCAAATCCAGTCCGAAAGAGAGGCTATGGTTGAGCGTGTGAGTCTCACACTACATGCAGTCTCCGAATGGAGTGATACCAATCTCGTGAGATTTAACGCCTCCAAAACACACGTATCTCTTCACTGCAAAAAGGTGCCAGCTCACCTTGGCTCCTTCTTTCCAAAATGTATCACTGGAATAAACCGACCGCCTTCAGTTGTTGGGGGTTGAATTTTCTCCGAACCTCAACTATGGGCGGTTCATTGAGTCTAGAGCCAAAGCAGCCACAAGGAAACTTTGTGTCTTTGCAAGGGTGCGGCGGTACTTCACGCCGCGGCAGCTTCTTACCTTATATAAAGCGCAAGTCCGGTCGTGCATGAAGTACTGCTATCACATATGGGCTGGTGCTGCAAAATGCCATCTAACAGCTGTGCACTCAGTGGAGAGACATGCAAAGAGACTCATTGGTGATCTTGATTTGGTTGAAACCAATCTTGTTAGCCTCGAGCACGGGGGCAGAGTAGCTAGTCTATCGGTATCCTATAAGATGCATTTCGGTGAGTGTGTGCAGGAATTACACGCTTTATTTCCTCACTCTCCTTTCCACCATCGGGCCACCAGGCGGTCGGCGGATCTTCACCCCTTTGTTGTCGATATTCCACGCATTAGAACCAAACGGTTTGCTTCAGCTTTTGTAATGCGTACAGCAAAGGAGTGGAATAATTTGCCGGCGTCTATCTTTCCGTCCGAATACAATCTGGGTGTCTTCAAGGCAAGAGTGAAGAGGCTTTTGTTACGCTAAAACAGTGCGATTTACCATCTAAGGCTACATCACCACTTACCACCAGGTGGGATTGTGGTCAAGCACTGGCTTATAATAACTTAAAAAAAAACTGCGTTTATTGCACACCTTTTTGTCAATTTTTTTTTCGTGTGAGTAGAAGACTCACCACTTTGGAAATAAGTTTTTAATATTTCCCAACTTTGTTCAAGCGAAAAGTGACCAATTTCGTAAATATCAAACATAAAACTAACATTCTGTCACATCGGAAATGTCATAAAACCTTCCAACCTCAAAATAATCTATAGTTCCAATTCCAAACGTTAGATGGCCCAGCCTGTATTGTTGTTTTATTTTTATGTTAGATATATTATAGGTAGTTTCATTTTATATTATTATTCACGTCTGGATTAAGTGGTATAATGTTTTTATCCAATTTAGTTTATAACAATTAATATATAAATATAAAGATTAAAAATTCACTTCCCAAAGGCTCTTTAGTTAAGTCTAATAATTTTTTTAATATTTATAAGCCTTTTAAAGCGTGTAGTGGCGGTGTAAGAATACTATACACTATCCCATAATCATCTCGTTGGTGTCGTGAGAGGCGACGGAGGGAAACAAATCAGGAAATGGGCAGCAACGTCTTCCTAATAATGACTAAAAATAAAAAACTGCATTGCCAACCCACTTGCCAAGCGTGGCAACTATGGCAAACATCCCCCCTAGGAGTCAATCTATGGGGAACGCCTATGTTCAACAGCGGACTTCGATATGCTGTAATGGTAACAGTAAGCTTTTAATATTATAGGAACCGGTTATCGATATCCGTACAAAAATTAGGGTTTCAAACTCGTTTAACCTATACGTACCAACGTAGATGTACTACTATCTACTCTAGTTTAACCTACTACTATCTACTCGCAAAAACTTACGAAAAACAATGATTTGGGTTAAAAAATTACAATTCCGAAAATTAACTTACGTCTTCTTGTAAAAAAAGTGTACAACCTTAAAATTGTATAATGTTACTGTGGAGAAGAAAAAAACTCGTTGGCAGAGGTTCTTTCCGAACTAATTGTAAAAGTAAAAATTAGCCAAGTGCGTCTCGGGCCACAAAAAAGGTTGAGGTAGGGTTCCGTAGTTCCCTGGCGGAGGAGACAGTATCCCGGGGTTGGGTGGTGCTGGCGGTGTCCTTAGACATCTCCAACGCTTTCAACACCCTACCCTGGAGTTGCATTCGGGAGGCGCTGAATTACCATCGCGTGCCTCCCTACCTCCGCCGCACAATAGGGGCTTACCTTGAGGAGAGATGCGTTACCTATTGGGGACGTGACGGCGCTGGTCAGCGCGTCATGTCGTGCGGTGTTCCGCAGGGATCGGTCTTGGGACCGCTCCTGTGGAACATCGGCTACGACTGGGTGCTGAGAGGTGAACTACCGTCGGGCGCCGACTTGACGTGTTATGCGGACGACACGCTCGTCACTGCCCGGGGGAGTTCGTACAGGGAAGCAGCGTTGGTTGCCACGGCTGCGGTGTCACAAGTGGTGAACCGCATCCGGCGCCTGGGCCTGGAGGTGGCCCTAAGTAAGTCGGAGGCCATGGTGTTCCATGGCCCTCGACGCGCGCCGCCGCCGGGTTCACACATCGTGGTCAGCGGGGCCCGGATAGCTGTCGAGTCCACCATGAAGTATCTGGGATTGGTGCTCGACAGCCGATGGGAATTCGGACCCCACTTCCGGCGGCTGGCGCCCAAGCTGATGGGTGCAGCTGGCGCGCTATCAACGTTGCTTCCCAACTTGGGGGGCCCGAGCGCCGCCTGTAGGCGGTTGTACGTGGGAATCGTGCGGTCCATGGCCCTGTATGGGGCCCCTGTGTGGGCGATGGACATGACGGCCAGCACTCTCGCCATTCTGCGTAAACCGCAGAGGGCGATGGCCGTCAGAGTCGTCCGCGGGTATCGCACGATTTCCTACGAGGCGGCTTGCGTCCTGGCCGGATCCCCGCCCTGGGACCTAGAGGCGAAAGTACTCGCGTCATTATATCGATGGCGCGAGGAAGAGCGGGCACGGGGCTCGAGGCCGGTGCAGCGGCAGATCGCGCTGCGCCGAGAGGAGCTCCGTCAGGTCTTGGTGGCGGAATGGCGGCAAAGGCTTCTGCGCCCTACCGCCGGCCTCGCTACCGTCGAGGCGATCCGGCCAGTACTCGACGACTGGCTCGGGAGAAGGCACGGCTCCCTGTCGTTTAGGGTGACGCAAGTGCTGTCGGGGCATGGCTGCTTCGGCAAGTACCTGTGCCGCATAGACAGGGAGCCGGACGCTCGGTGCCACCACTGCGTCCATTGCGGGGAGGACACGGCGCAACACACGCTCGCTGAGTGTGTAGCTTGGGAGGAGCAGCGCCGTGTCCTCACAAATAAAGTAGGAGGCGATCTGTCGCTGCCGGCCTTAGTGCGGAAGATGGTCGGTAGCGCAGAGTCGTGGGATGCGGTGGTGTCCTTCTGCGAGGACGTGATGTCGCAGAAGGAAACTGCGGAACGGGAAAGGGAGATCTCGACTCCCTTCCCTGGCCGCAGAAGGCGCACCGGGCGCAGGAGAAGGGCGGACAACGCCCTTTTCCGGCCCCCATAAATGGGTCCAGGGGCGAGGGACTTGGGGAAGCCCCCGCCACCCCTACTCGATGGACCCGAGGCGGAGGTGCGCGCGGGTGTCGGCGCGCGCCCCTGAGGCGATACACGGGGTAGTTTAACACCTCACTACCCCGTGCAGGAGACGAGGCCTGGACAGACCGGGCCAGCACTAGTGTGGGGCTGCGGAAGAATTTGGATTCCCGCGGCCCCACGCGCACGTGTGAGGAGACACCGGGGTGGTTTTAGCCGGTAAGAGTCCGGCACGCCCCTCCGCCTTTCCCCAGGTAGTCCATGAGGATTTCCCCCCGTAAAAAAAAAAAAAAAAAAAGGGTTCCGTAGTTCCCCCCCGAACAGGTTCCCGCCTTGTCGTGGCGGGGGGGCTTAGTAGCCGTGGCTTGGTCAACCACGGTGAACAAAGAGGAACCCCTTGGCTGGCCCGTGGTGTAGGGCCGGCCCGAGGTGGCCACTCCGAGTGGGCTTGGGAAGCCCACTTCGGATGTGTGTCGGTGGGATGCTGCGAGAGGGGTGTCCGCTCCCTCTATCGCTGCAGCCGAGGTGGAGTCGCGGAGGAGGAGGCGTGCTGGTATGGCGATGCGCCACTCGCCCTATCCTCCGCGACTCAGACGGGGCCGCACCGTTAATGATGCGGTGGTGGTGGAGCTGCGGGGGGAGAGGAGTGTCGGTATTGCGAGGCGCCGCTCTCCCTACCCTCCGCAGCCGAATCTTGGTTGGCGGTGGAGCCATAGACCAGATCCGCCGCTGGGGTCAGGAAGGCTGGTGCTTCTGAGTACCAAATATCCAGCATAGTCAAAAAAAATTATTAAGTTATCAAACCATGTATTATATAATATTAATTAATTATTTTTTTATTTATTTATTCTTCATTGCAAGACCTGCCGGCATTGTCTGCCAATAAACCCGTATTAATTCAACTCTATCAATCCACTTCTGAACATGGGCATATTTTAATTTAAAAATAAATAAAAATAGGCCTTCCATAGATTGCCTCATAAGACAGATATTCATATATTATAGTAGCTCGCCAGGCAGACGTTGTTCTGCCCATAGCGACGACCCTCTGTCCTATTAAAAAATCCTTCAATTCGCAATAAAAAATTTTGAGGTTCATTTATCGGGATAAAAATATCCTATCTCTCAAGTTGGACCAAACTGCACACAGTGTGCAAAATTTCATTGAAATCAGCTCAGTAGTTTAGGAGTCCATCGCGGACAAACAACGTGACACGTAGTTTTTATATATAAAGATAATATAAATAGGGTGTGACCCTATCACGAAAAATTTTAATAAATCTCAAATCCTTCACCAAAAACTGCATCAAATTTTTTTATGACGTCTCGGGGATAAATGCGCTAAAACTCATTTCAACGAACAAAAAATGTTTATTGCAGTGCCTCTTGATGAGTAAACACCATAACACAACACCTATCTAAGAATTATCGCCGATTTATCACAAACCCTTTGCAGAAAACCATATATAAACGGTCAAACCGTTTTGGAGATAAATGGGAACATTCGTTTGCACATACAAACCACCTCTCCTAAACGCATAAACATCCTCCGTTCCGCCGTGAGTAAAATAATGACTGTTTATGTTACGAAATTTGAAGTATAGTAAGATGCACACAGTACACCTGATGGTTGCTGTTGTCACCCTACATCTCACCTGGCATTGCATCTCTCTCTCTCTCTCTCTCTCTCTCTCTTTCTCTCTTTCTCTATCTGTTCGTTTACAATCTTAATGGCATGCAATAACACCATCAGTTTAATATAAAGCACTTTAATTTTGTTTATATTATGATGTTGATGTAAGTATATATTATGGCATCCCAAGCAAGGGGTAGCACCCAGCCATCTTTTCTATAGAAATTTAATTTAAGAAAAAACAGTAAGTTCTGCAGCCTATGCTGTAAAAAAGATTAGAGGTCTCACTAGTGTCGAGATAGCTAGATTAGTTTATTTTAGTTATTTTCATAGCATAATGTCTTATGGGATTTTGCTATGGGGAAATGCGGCTGATTCAAAAACTATTTTTGTTTTACAGAAGAGGGCCATTAGAGCTATTTACAATCTAAAACCGAGAGAGTCTCTTAGAGATAAATTTAAAGAAATTAATATATTAACTTTGGCCTCTCAGTATATTTACGAAAATTTAATGTATGTTCACAAAAACAAAGATAGTTTTAGTAAAAGAAGTGATATACATTCTGTAAACACTAGGAACAAACACAAGCTAGTGATACCAGTTTCTCGACTCCACAGAGTCAGTAATTCATTCTTGGGGCAATGTATACGCTATTACAACAAGGTCCCGGAAAGTGTACAGGTTCTCTCTATTACCAAGTTTAAATGTTTTATTAAGCTGAAACTGTATAAAAAGGGTTATTATTGTATAAATGAATACATGGTTGATAATAACCCCTGGGAATGAGGTGATCGCTTCCAAGCAGTTTCTAAAATCATCATCATCATCATCATCATTACAGCCCTTCACAAGTCCACTGCTGAACATAGGCCTCCCCCAAAGAATGCCACAAAGCACGGTCCTGAGCCACCTGCATCCATCGACTTCCTGCATATCTTACCAGGTCGCCACTCCATCTAGTGGGGGGACGCCCTACACTTCGCCTGCCGGTACGAGGCTGCCACTCGAGAACCTTTCTTCCCCATCGGTTGTCGGTTCTTCGAGCTATATGGCCGGCCCATTGCCACTTCAGCTTACTAATCCGTTGGGCTATGTCGGTCACTCTGGTTCTACTGCGGATATCCTCATTTCTGAGTTTATCACGCAGAGAAACTTCGAGCATAGCCCTCTCCATAGCTCGCTGAGCGACCTTGAGCTTCCTCATCCAGCCAGCAGTGAAGGACCACGTCTCAGTTCCGTATGTCATCACTGGCAACACGCACTGGGTGTACAGTCTCGTTTTCAAGTTTTGAGGTATACCTGACGAGAAGATGTGTCGTAGCTTCCCGAACGCTGCCCAGCCGAGTTGAATCCGTCGATTGACCTCTCGGTCGAAGTTGGACTTACCTAGTCGGACTATTTGTCCCAGGTAAACATACTCGTCAACAACTTCGAGCTTAGTGTTCCCAACAACTACCGGCATAGGTGTGACATGGACATTAAACATGATCTTTGTTTTGTCCATGTTCATCTTAAGACCTATCCGTTGGGAAACACTATTGAGGTCATTGAGCATAGTGCTTAGGTCCTCCAGCGATTCTGCCATAAGGACTATATCGTCGGCAAATCGAAGGTGAGTGATGTACTCGCCATTGATGTTTATACCGTATCCTTTCCAGTCCAGAAGCTTGAAAACATCTTCCAATGCAGCGGTAAAGAGTTTCGGGGATATGACGTCACCCTGTCTTACACCTCTCTGCAATTGGATAGGTTTCGTACTCTGGTTCTGTACTCGGATAGCCATCGTAGCCCTACTGTACAAGCACTTCAACACTTCGATATACCGACAGTCAACTTGGCATCGCTGAAGGGACTGCAGCACCGCCCAAATTTCGACGGAATCAAAGGCTTTCTCATAGTCCACATACGCCAGACATAGTGGCAAATTGTACTCCTCGGACTTCTGTACAATTTGCCGAAGGGTATGTATGTGGTCTATGGTGCTAAAGCCTTTTCGGAAACCGGCTTGTTCGGGAGGCTGGAAGTCGTCAAGTCTGCGCGCGAGACGATTCGTAATGACTCTCGAAAACAGCACGTAGACGCGGCTCAGAAGGGATATCGGTCTGTAGTTCTTCAAGAGAGCGTTGTCGCCTTTCTTGAAGAACAAGACCACCGCACTTCTGCTCCACGCCTCCGGTGTAATGCCACCATGGAGGACGGAATTAAAGAGCTTCTGAAGGACTTCAAGTACCGATTTTCCACCCGCTTTCAGAAGCTCCGCTGTAATTCCATCCTCGCCTGGGGCCTTGCCGTTTTTAAGGTGCTGGAGAGCCATTCTAATCTCGCTCAGACTGACGTCCGGGATATCATCGGAATAATGTCGGATAAGACTCGCTCTTGGATCGTTACTCACACTTGCGTGCGGCTCCAACGATGACGTGTACAGCTGCCCATAGAACCTCTCAATCTCACTCAAAATCTCAGGTGCCCCGGAAACGATGCTGCCACACTCTGTCTTCAGCTTTGACAGTTGGCGCTTTCTGGCAGACAGATCTCTGGCAAAGACTTTGGAGCCTTGGTTCCGCTCGATCGCTTCTTCAATACGAGCTGTATTGAATTTGCGTAAGTCCCGCCGCATGCATTTGGAGATCTGTCTGTTCAGTTGCCTGTATGCTGTTAAATCTGTTGAAGAATGTAGCTTCATCTCCCGTCTAACAACCATGAGATTAAGAGTGTGATCGGAGAGTTTTTGTGTTCTTCTGCGGCGGGTCTTGCAGAACTTAGCTACGACCGCATGGACAGTTTCCACGAGCTTGTCATTCAAATCGTCCACTTCATTGCAGTCTTCTAGGCACTGAAAACGGTTTTGTAACTCGAGCTGAAAGGTTTCGGGACTTTGGATTAGAGCACGAGGGGGACGGAGCGTTGACTTCATTAGACGAGACCTCTCCAACTTAACGTTTAGGTTCAGTGTGCCTCTAACCATTCGGTGATCGCTGCCGGTTTTCACCCTCGCGATCACTGAGACATCACTGAACAGTTGTCGTCTGGTCGTCATAATGAAGTCAATCTCATTTTTTGTCGAACCGTCGGGGCTCGACCAGGTCCACTTCCTGTGGGGCCGCTTCTGGAAGAAAGAGTTCATCATAAAGAGTCCCTCTTTCTCCATGAAGTCAGCCAACTGCTGGCCCCTTGGGTTCCGTTGCCCTATTCCAAATTTCCCTACTTTCAGCTCACCGTTCTCTCTTGTGCCTAGTTTTGCATTGAAGTCTCCCATTAACACCGTATATTGGGTTTTGGAGGAATGTATGGCTCTAGAGATATCCTCATACATTTCCTCCACCTCCTGATCGGGGTGTGCCGAGGTTGGTGCGTAAACCTGTATGACCTTCAGCGAATACCGTTTGGTGATTTTGAGTATAAGGTACGCTACCCTCGTCGACACACTCTCAATCTTTACAACGTTGTTAACGAGAGACTTGTGGACGATAAATCCGACACCTCCTTGGGACAGATGGTCGCCCCCCGGTGACAGAGCAAGTTGCCGGATTCGAGGATTACCGTGTCCTCCCCCTCTCTTCGGACTTCGACTAATCCTATAATATGCCAGCGTAACTTGTCTATCTCTTCTTCCAGCTCCACAATCTTCTCGTCAGTCCTCAGGGTGCGTGCGTTGTATGTTGCCAGGTCGAGTCGTCGTAGGTGGCAACCGAACCTCCACCGGAGATTCTTAGCACCCCCTGCCCCGCCGTTACCATGGTCGCCACCGTAGCCAGGAATAGCGGGGCCGCCGGGGACTGGGGGCCGTTTATTATTGTCATTGCTCATGGGGGGTAATTGCCATAGTTGCCACGCCTGGCGAGCGGGTTGGCAACCGCAGTTTTTTTATTGTTATTTGGCTATTATCAGGAAGATGCTGCTGCCCATCTCCTGCCTGTTTCCCTTTGTCGCCTTTTACGACACCCACGGGAAGATATGGGGTAGTGGATATTCTTAACCGCCACTACACGGCCTTTCTAAAATAAATTTTGTAAATAGTTCGTAATCATTTATATTGTAAAATTTATTTTAAAAAAAAGTCCCGCTGGGTTTCTTGCTGGTTCTTCCCAGGACAGAGGGTTTTTTTCGAACCAGTGGTAAAGTAAAAAATGACTTTCAATAAGAATTACACATGTAATGTATATTGAATAAAAATATTCTATTCTGTTCTATTCTATTCTATTCTATTCTAAAAAAGTCAAATACTTATTCCCCACCGCGATAATGGTTGCTGTAAGGCGCCCGAAATGTCGGGAATTACAAGAGGTCACATGTGGTAAATTTAAAATTTTGTACAAAGGACTTCAATATGATTATAATTTATTGTTGATTTTTTTAAAACCGCTCGACCGATTTCGATTAAATTTAAATGGGACCACCTGGGAAGTTATACCCTTTGATACAAGAATTTTCCAAATCGGTTCAGGCCTCCTTGAGTAATCGGTGAACATACATTAAAAAAAAAAAGATTCCGACGAATTGAGAAAAATTTTTTGAAGTCGGTTGAAAATTAAACGTGATTAGATCCACAAAATTAGTTATTTTCAATGTGCAGTATTCGCATAAATATAGGAAATCATTAAGCATAATTTATTTATTATTAAGTAGTTTTTACTAATTATTGTAAGTTACTTAATGGCATTGTGCAATTTTATTTTTAATGAAATTTTTTGTTCTGGTATGATTGTTTTACACATTCATTTAATTATTTATATATTTTTAACAGTGGTAGAGCCACGCGGCATCTTTTGCTGTCGCACGGATGGGCCGTTTCGAACCGGGGTGGTACCACGACCTCACAGAATACCAACGTGAAGTAGAGGTTTACCTCTGCGTTTCGCTTGGTGAGTGCAGGTGGCCGGAGGCCCTTTTTACTGGAAATGAGGCATTCCATCTTAGCCTCACGGGTGGCAACGCATCTGCATTTTGATTCGCAAACGAGGGTAGATGTAGATGTCTATGGGCCGCGGCAACCACTTACCATCAGGTGGACTGTGTGCTCGTTTGTCACCCTTATCTTATAAAAAAAAAACAAGCAAGGTTAATACTGTGTTATAAAAAATACTGACTACTTAAAAAAATACTCATATAAATATAAATGCGAATTTATGAGAACTTTATATAATCGTATGATAAACAGCTTTATTATAAGTTTTAAGAAAATTTAAGCTATTATGGTTGCTGTGACCGTAGAAAAGAAAAGGGGAGATCTCCCGCCGGGCAAAGTGTTAAGCCCGGGTAGCGGGCCACGCTCCGAGTAGTGGTTCGTAGCTATCTAATATACTGCTTTATTTCGGAACTTTGATAGCGCGATTAAGGCTTTGACGGTTCCGTGGCGCAGTGGCTTAGCAATGAGTTGTTGCGCTGGGAGCCGCGGGTTCGAATCACGCACGGAACAAGTATTTGTCCTTGTGCAATTTATATTTACAAACTGCCTCCACGATACAGGAGAAAATCCTTGTGTGGGGTAACGTTTTTAAAAAAAAAGATGTGATTCGCTTGTTGCGTGACGACAGCGCCGCCACAGTCGCTAACCAACTTTAAATCATTATGGACCGTAAATGGTCATTCAATTTGAAAAATGACTACATAAACCAAATTACGATTTTCGGGAACCTATTCAACGATACCCCACTTGACATAGTTCTTCGACTGAATTTTTTTTCTTTTAAGCAATATAGCATCTGGTTGTCGCCATATTGAGTTTAGGTAAATGTCAGGTGACACACAAAATTTAAAAAATCGGCCTACGCGTTTGTTCTCTAGAGCGCCACAAAGGAACAAACGAACATATTACATACATACATATAATCTACATTCATACAAAGTAAACTGCCTCCACGATACAGGAGAAAATCCTAATGTTAGGGTAACGTTTTTTTTTTAAGAAAAAGATGTTTCGCTTGTTGCGCGACGACAGCGCCGCCACAGTCGCTAATCTCAATCAAACTTTAAATCGTTGTGAACCGTAAATGGTCACTCAAATTAAAAAATGACTAGATAAGCCAAAATATGATTTTCAAAGACCTATTCAATGATATCCCACTTGACATAGTTCGTCGACTTTCATTTTTTATAAACAATATGGCGTCTTTTTGTCGAATTTCGACACACACACACACACACACACACACACACACACACACACACACACACACACACACACACACACACACACACACACACACACACACACACACAAAAATCGATTGACGTAAGAATCATCAAAATCAGCCTACGAGTTTGATCTCTAGAGCGCCACACAGGAACAAACTAACATATTACATATATACATACAAACATACATATAATTATACATATATACTTATTACTTATAAGGGTGATAAACACATTACCATCCACAGTCGTGTAATAATAGACGATGTCCTAGGTGACTGACTCATCTATCAACGCACAGCCCAAACCACTAGATCTCTGTTTGGAAAGTAGCTTCCTTGTACGAGCCTGGAGTGGTCAAATCCACTTAGAAAAGATTTTTAAAAATTCAGCCCTTAAGAGGGTGAAATAGGGTGTTACAGTTTGTAGCAATTTTTTTTATTTTACGGTGAGATCTGGCGGTGCTAGAGATTCACTGTTGAGTGTAACTTCAGTTTATTATATATATATAACTATAAGCTGAGGTAATAACTGTGATATTGGGACGTCGTACACCTAAGTCCAGTGACCATGGGGAAATATAAAATAAGTTAATACGATTGCGATAAAATCCGTAAAAATTTGTTTCATTTGAATTTATGTGAATAATTTAGAAGATATCATAGAATCGCTGTCGCACACAACCAAAAAAAGGCATTTTGCAGAGTTGTTACTCAACGATCAAAGAAAAATCGATAAAACCCAAACCAATGAACGTTTACTAATTTTGTCATCTTTTTCATGTTTCTCATTGAAGAAATACGATTAAATATATTATTAAACAAACGTTATAAAATATATATGCACCAATTATATATACCAAAACGACAAACTCTAAATCGATCAAACAATGATTTTTTAAACTTAAACGACACCGCATGTAAATTGCACCCGTGCGAAGCCGGGGCGGGTTGCTAGTTTATTGTAATAGAAATATGCATACGCACTGCTCGGTACATATGAGCAATTGACATAAAATCAGCGCTGTCCGTGGTAACACTGCTACAGAATCATGCTAAGTCAGACGCCTTTTCGTTACTACAACCCAATGTGTTTGTATTTTTTTTGTTGTTTTTATCACGCTAGCTATCAATAATATCACATTAGTACCTACTACTTTAACCTACAATAGAATAATGGAATGCGGACCGCGAATTCAAAAGTAGTGGGTTCGAATCCGCCATTCGGCTACTGTCGTGAATCACCCCTAACACAAGCATATTAAGGTACATATTGTTAATAAGAATTTTAGTATGAAATAGCATTGATAACAATTTTATTTAAAAAAAAAATCGAAGGTACTATCGACTCACCCCGGCTTGGTGGATGCTGTGGTCCATAGACTACTACTCTATCCTCGATTAAGACGGAACGCCTTGTTTCCTGTGAAAAGGGTCGCCGGTTATTTACACTCACCTTATGAAACATTTTACGCTAGTATTATGTGAGAACGTGGTGACTCTACCTTCTCGATTCAACGCATTCGTGCTACAACTATAATATTATAGCTGCAGCGTGGCTCTACCAAGTTTAAAATTCTATTTATTTATTAATTTATTTCGTTTTCAGGTTAACACGGAATAGCAACAAAAATGGTTATACGAATAGCAACGCAGATCACCAACAGCGTGCAGAGAGAAGACGGCTTCGCGAATCTCCTCGGTCACATCGGCAAATGGCAGATCTTAGTCTGTGCAACAGTATCCCTGGTGAAACTATCTTCTGGATGGGTCCAAATGGCAATATTATTTCTCACACCGAAACTGAATTTCTGGTGCGCCGAGTTCTCCAACTCTTCGAGGTTTGGGGACAATTCGACATGTTATGACGACTGTTTACGATACGAGTACGACCCTAGTCCGTTCGAGAATACGATAATCACCGAATGGGATCTGGTGTGTAGCAGGAGTTGGATGGCGAGCTTCACGCAGATGGTGCTGCAATTGGGCGTTCTGATTGGCAGCATTATTTTTGGTTTCCTTTCTGATAGGTAAGTTCTTTTATATAAAACTGAAGTGACAAACCAACAAACAGTCCATCTGACGGTTAGTGGATACAGCAATACACCTGTAGCCAACTTCAAACAAAGAAGAAAGGACTTCTCTGAGGACTAAGATGGAAGACCACAGCCTGTAACTATACTGGCTCTCTATACGTGTAAATGTGTCTACATATATATCGTGTGTGGCGGCGCTGTCGTTGCGCTAAAAGCATAAATCATGGAGCAAATACAAAGAGGAGGTGTTGTAATAAGGGCTCATAATTTTCTGCTCACCAGATTTCGCTAGTTGACACCGATGTAAAGTTTTTTGCTAAGGAATGTGATTTAATTGAGAAGTTGGTTTTTAATAAAAGTTTATCAGTTTCTAGAGTATAATATTAATACACAAAACTATGTGTCAGTGGTTGGCTCTTTAATTTTTTTGCACATTATTTACTTTTTTTAAATGTTTCTACTTTTATGAATATCTGTGGTTTGGTTCATTTATTTTTAATCTTATTAATGTAAAATAGTGCTAATAGTACAAAAAGAAACAATAACATTTACATTTTCCGAACAAATTAACTTCCCCGCTATGAAATATGTCAAATATTTACCTCACTTTCTAGTGGCACCGCCCTGGTGGCAGAAAAAGTGGATGCCCTCATTAGATTTCATTATGTAACAACGCGTGACAATTTGTGGGCTGAAGGGGAGTTAAACCCCGCCCATTTAACCATTTTCCATCTACCGATAAAAAGTAAATCTACTCGCATCGTTCCATATCGATTTTGCAATGTAGTTTAGCTACCTTGACGATAGATGGCAGCTTATTTACATAATGGTTATAAAAACCACAAAAATTCTTTAGGACTGAACACAAAACAAATTACAGCAACTTCGTATGATTATTTTATCAATAATGAGCTCTACAGACCTTTAAATTGACGAATTATATTTGAAAGCCTACGCAGAGATTTTTCTATATTTATACAAATAAAGTATGATGACGTCCTTAGCATCAGAGCGTCTATCTAAGTAGTTTTTACACGATAAAACACAACACTTCATCCTTTTCTTCTTAACACTACGTAAATACACCGATTTGCGATTTTTGACACATTTGCACAGGACGAACGCTAGCAGTATACTAACTAAAGCCACGCCCACTGTGATAACGTCAGGACCTAGTTAGAATCACAGTGCACAGTTGCTTAGGCCGTCTCCTCTTTGTATTTGCTCCGTGGCAAAAATACATCGAAGTCTAAATCACGCTATCTAAGTTCCGAAGTAAAAGCAGTATAATATATAGAAATTAAATCGAACCAGACCATGGGTGCTGTAAAGTACTCCAAACGTCGGGAATATAAAATAAATTAATACACGCGATAAAATCCGTAAATACTAGTTTTATTTAATAGAAATAATGTGTCGCAAGAGGCAAATGAGAAAGGCCAGAAAGTCCTCATAGCCTCCGATATATGATACTGCTATCGACAACCTGCCTGCCAAGAACAATGGTTCAGGTGGATGCTCCTGGTGTGAGTGAGGCCATGTCCAGTAGTAGAGAATTATGGACTCATAAAGAAGAAGATAAAAATAGTAAAAAGTAAAGACAAAGGTGTCAGCAGTGCATTCCTGTGTGGGGGCAGAACTTAACATGGAAATTATTTTATTTATTATTTAACCCAAGGCCCTGGTAAATCAGCTATTAGATTTTTATTGGAACTTTAATTTCCGTGGTGCGGGTCAATGAACTCTACTTAATATAAAATTTAATCGCTCTGCTCATTAGCATCGGTATCAAAAATTACACTTAAAAAGCAATAAATAGGTTTTTAAGTACTTGCCATGAGCAGATTTCAGGTACTGTCTAGTTTGTACTTCTATAAGTTGAATTCGACTAGATATTCCAAATTCAAACTCATGTCACATTAAACGAAGCATTTTCCGATTTTAAGTTGGAATTTCTTAAATAAGAAGCTGTTTAGATACCCTTTTTACCGGAGACGAGGCATTCTATATTACGAAAACCTTATGGTTGACAATGACAATGCATCTACATTATGATAGATGTAGGTGTCTATGATGTCTCGTTTGGGCAGTATTCGGGAGATTATGACACATCTTCTCGTGAGGTATATCTCAAAACTTGAAAATAAGATTGTAAAACCGGAGCGTGTTCCCAGTGATGACATATGGATCTAATACGTGATCCTTCACTGCTGACTGTATGAGAAAACTCAAGGTCGCTCTGGGAGCTATGGATATGCTCGGGGTTTCTCTGGTTGATAGATTTAGAAATAAGGATACCCACAGTAGAACCAGAGACCAACAATAACAATAACCCAAAGAACTAGTAAGCTGAAGTGGCAGTAGGCTCAGTGCCGTACTTCGTGGCGATACTTGGGGGAGGCCTATGTTCAGCAGTAGACTTGTGAAGGACTGTAATGATGATGAATATGATGATAGGCTCCAGAATCTACTTGCCATCGGACAGATTGTGTGCTCGTTTGTCATACATTGTCATCGAAGTTCCTTATCGGCGGACGGTACGAAGTGTAGACGCCCTTGGCGGTTGGACTAATATCCATCTCTCTCGCACTTTTTCTTATCTTGCCATGAAAGAAATATAATTTTATTTTAAATAACGCTTCACTATAGACGCTAGTAATTCATTTATCTGTATATGTTAATCAATAATATAATACGTTTATCAATAGTAATATAGGTACAACGAAATGAACTTCGTTCCGAGTGTTCCACGATACTCACGCATTTTTTTTTAATATATAAGTGTAATTTATTAGGTACCATAAAACACGATTTGTAACTAGAAACGCGTTATAATGTTTTTTATAACACGATCCTAATTACAAAACTTGCTGCACGAGTTGTGTGCTTAATGATACTCTGATGACGTCATAGCGAATACAAAATGTAAAATTTTATATTTAATACTCTAAGCCCGTACGTAATGTTACACTGAAAATATACGTGGTCTTCGATTACACACACACATAAACGCTAAGTACGTTTCCGATCGCCTTCTCATCTGTTATAGAAGATGTCCATGTCCAACAGGACAATTTATGACGGCTCTGTGGCGCAGTGGATTAGTAATGAGTTACAGCGCTAACGGCCGCGGGTTCGTATCCCGCACGGAACAAGTATTTGTATGGCCTACAAATAAATGTTCCGGGTCTGGATGTTTGTTCTTGTGCAATTTATGTTTGTAAATTGCCCCCATGATACTGGAGAAAATCCTAGTGTGGAGGTTACGTTTATTAAATCCATCAAAAAAAAAAGAAAAAAATATGTAAGAGGTGACGAAAGAGCGCCAATACACCTGTTATAGTAGACAATAGTTAATTAAAAGAATCAGCCTTTAATTTGCTGAAATCCATTTGCTAAGATCCGATTAATAAAATTAAAATATGTATCTTACATAGTTTGAAGAGTAACTCCCGCCCTCCCTTAATTGTGTGCATTATCCCTATTATATATTATAAGCGAAATACCACTGACTGCATGACTCATTACGAGATCTCTAAAACTATAGACACGATTGACTTGAAATGTAGTATAGTTACTCATTTCGCAGTGTTGACGCTCACTGTAAGAACGCATTTTACGATAGTAAGTACTGCTATAAAAAAAAATCTTGATATCTAGCTAAAAGCGAGCGGGTAATATATTTGTAATATGCACAGACTAACTAGTAGATTCTACCCGAATGTAATATGAAGAAATAAAAAAAAAATAATATAAAATTAAAAAAAATATAAAATCTTTAAATGGCGTCGAGTCATGACAATGTCATAAAGGTTGACGTTTAGATTCTCTTCTTGATAACTGGCTTTACGGCTCTGGGATCTAGCCCTTCTGAGCCTGAAGTTACAATATTATATCTAATAATTATTCTTCATAGTATACTGCTTCACAATATGTTGATGCGTCATATTGTGCAGCCCTTGGGAGATTTTGACGGTAACTTGAGCCAGCAGACAGCTGACGGTTGGCGATGGTATCTCAAGGCGCGTAAGCAGACAGGCACCTTATTTTGAGAATCACATCACTATCAGAGCAGTTGTTTCACAGTTTCCAATAATAGTTCACATGCGCAGATACTTAATATACAAAAACACACCATTTTTACATATCAAAGTCCACTTCAAACCATTATTTAAACAATAAAACAGGAGCAACAAACCGCTGCCGGTCAAGTTCCCGCCATAACTCCTTGACGTTTAGAGTAAACCTCAGAGCAAAGAGTATAACATAGACTTAGGATATACTTATGTATATCCTAAGTCTATGGAGTATAATAAGTGTATATAGGAACCTCAGAGTAAGTACAAGTATGTATGTTATGACTCTAATGCCCAAATGCTCAAACGCTACCTAATGTATCATGCCCACTTTCCTTACATTGAGATAAAATGAAATAATATTTTGTAAAAGTAGTTATCGTTTTGGCGGAGGGAGAGTTCCTACTGGCGGGAGGAAGAAGCGCGTATTTTTAAAAGTCTTATTTCGACTTCAACTTCTGAAGGAAAATTCTCTAATTTTCATACGAAATAAAGAGAAATTCCGTCTGATAGTGACGGCATGGATGACGACGCGGGCGGGAAAAGGAAACCGCCAAAGCGTAATCAAGACCTGCAGCAGGAAAATAATGATTTTTATAAGCCGTACTACAAATTAAATTATAAAATAGTTTTCCATGAGTCAACGGGAATGGCTGAATACACGGCTTTTATTGTGAGTCGTAAAGAAGGGGTTAAACTAGGTCATACGAATCCCTTAATGTTGGCGGGAATTTTTAAAAACAAAAACCATAGAGTCACTATTATAAAAAGAATAAACGCTTCTAAAGTAGAGGTGGTGTTTGCGCGGGTGATTAACGCCAACGACTTTTTAAAAAATGAAAGCTTCTTAGGCTGAGATCTATAGATCGTACTTTGACTTTGCTCAGACTTAGCTTACGACAAACGTAGCTGAGTATA